ACAAGCTAAGTGAAATGAGTCAGAAAGAGAAGGACAGACATAGAAAGACTGCACTCATCTGTGAAATATAAAGTAACAAAATAGGAGACTAACACCCAAGAAGAGTCGAGATAAGTACCAGGAGGTTCGCTCCATGGCTTGGAGGCCAGCTGCACATGCCTGGGGAAAAGGCAGCTCAGATAGAGATGGGAACACCAAAGGGGCTGGGAGGATCCTCCCAGGATGGGAGATGCATGCTGAAAGTAGACTATAGACCGAACATGATTGCCACTCAATACCTCTTGTGTAAACCACAACACCCAAAAGGAAAGAGAGAACAAAAGGGAATGCCCTGCCACAGAGGCGGGGTGGGATGGGGGGGGGGATACTGAGATCATTGGTGGTGGAGAATGGGCACAGGTGGAGGGATGGGTACTTGATATTGTATAACTGAAACCCAAGCACAAAAATTTGTAAGTCTACAACTGTACCTCATGGTGTTTCACTGCACTGCACTGCACTGCACTGTCCTCCCATTGTTCATCAATTTGCTCGAGTGGGCCCAGTAATGTCTCCATTGTGAGACTTGTTGTTAATGTGTTTGGCGTATCGAATACATCACAGGTAGTTTGCCAGGCTTTGCCGTGAGGGTGAGATACTCTCAGTAGCTTGTCGCACTCTCCGAGAGGGGCGGAGGAATCGAACTCAGATCAGCCCTGTGCGAGGCAAACACCCTACCTGCTGTGCTATTGCTCCGGCCCACTAATAATTTAAAAAAAAAGTCATGGGTTCATTTGTAGCCCACAGATTTCAAACGTTTTTGTCCTTCTCCCAAACCTGTAACTGCATTTGGTTATATTATTGGATAACGGCTTTCCCATAGAAAAACTTTCCTCACTCTCGGAGCTGGAGCGATAGCACAGTGGGTAGAGCGTTTGCTTTGCACACAGCCAACACAGGTTCGATTCCCAGCATCCCACATGGTGCCCGGAGCAACACCAGGAGTGATTCCTGAGTGCAGAGCCAGGAGTAACCCTTGTGCACGCTGGGTGTGACCCAAAAAGAAAAAAAAAAGAACTTTCCTCACTCTCTTAGCTGATTATCACCACACTAACTCTGGAGGATCACTCTTGGAACTCTTTGGTCAGTTCTATTTTGTTGCAGTTTTTACCTGATTCCTTCTCCATCATCTTCTCCTAATCATGTCTTTTAAATCTATACATCAGGAACTGGAGAGATAGTACAGCGGGTATGCACTGCTCTTACATGTGGCTAATCCAGGTAAAACCCCCAACATCCCATATGGTGCCCCAATCCCAGTCAGGAGTGATTCCTGAGCAAATAACAGGAGTAAGCCCTGAGCAGCACCAAGTATAGTCCAAAAAACAAAACAAGAAAACTAACAGAAAAGGGGCGGGGAACAAGAGGGAAAGAGCAGATGGAAAAACATAGAGATTTTTAGAAGCTTTAGAAACAGAGGATCAAAGGGGCTGAAAGAAGACCAGAAGAGACACAGGGATAGTGGTGGAAAGTCTTGGCACTTTGGGATGACAGGATGTAGTAAATTGCATCAATACCAAATTTTGTGTATGAATACTTCAACACTATTGCAACTACTGAAACTATAAGTAATGATAAAACACATACTCAAAGAGGTCATAACTCATCATGAAAATGAATAAAATTTCACAGTTTCCCTAATACACCCAGAGATATGCAAATTAAAAATTGAAAGGAGCATTTAAGTCGCTGGGTCAACCCATATGAACAAGATCACATTGACTGAAATCTTTAGACGTTTTTGAATACTTCACTAACTCTTCAGCAAGAAACTACATTCCAATCTATAAAGTTTTGTAGAAACAATTCACTGACAATCTTCAGCACAATGATCCTTACAACAGTTTGATAGATATAGATATAGATATAGATATAGATATAGATATAGATATAGATATAGATATAGATAGATAGATATATAGATATAGATATAGATATAGATATAGATATATAGATATATAGGCTGGAGTGATACCACAGCGGTAGGGCGTTTGCCTTGCACGCAGCCAACATGGCCGACCTGAATTCGATTCCTCTGCCCCTCTCGGAGAGCCCGGCAAGCTACCGAGAGTATTCGATATGCCAGACACAGTAACAACAAAGTCTCCAATGGGGACGTTACTGGGCCCGCTCGAGCAAATCGATGATCAACGGGAGGGCCTTTACTTTACTTTATATATATATATATATATAATGTATATATATATATATATATATATATATAGAGAGAGAGAGAGAGTGTCAAAGGCCAAACAAATAAATGGAGGTTTATTTCACCTGGCCCCCTGGCGCCGTGTAATCCCATCAACGGCCAAGACTCAGAGACTATAAAATCCAGCTCCCAGACGAGAACAGTGCAGTCTGCCCCCCGCGCCTGGCTGTTCCTCGCCGGGGCCCGTTGGAAGGGAGCGGGCTGAGCTTTCCTCCCCGCCCTGACCAGGGCTCCGGCATCGAAGACCTCCAGGACCAGCCACCACCATGCTGAGACCACTCTCCGCACACCTGAAGGTACTGGCAGAGGGACAAATCCACGCGGGTTTCGGGGCCGAGATCTCCCAGCCTACTCGGATTGGAGTCGAGCATCCTCCACCCAGATCCTCCAAATTCCAGTAGGCGGGGGTCACACCCACCACCTGGCCCCCTGGCGCCGTGTAATCCCATCAGCGGCCAAGACTCAGAGACTATAAAATCCAGCTCCCGGAACCACACGGCCGCGAATTGACATCTTATCAGGACATCTTTTATGACATCTTATCATCTCATTCCTACTTTGGACAAACTTGCAGGCTATCGAATGTAGCCTGCCCACAGGGCAGAGTCTGGCAAACTCCCCGTGGCGTACCAAATATGCCAAATACCAGTAACAATGATGGGTCTCATTCTCCTAAATAGCCTTGAATATAATCTCAGGGTTCGGATGAAAGATACGTTACTGGGGCCTGCTCGAGGCAATCGACGAACAACAGGATGATGAAATGAAATGAAATGAAAAAAAACATTTTGACATCAGATAAATTAGAAGGATGGGGGAGGTGTTGCTTGCCTGATACCTTGTGGAGTTCAGGAGCTACTCAGTGTTCTGTGGTCACGGATCAAACCACGTGGTGTCAGGGATCAAACCAGCATCGTCTGCATGCAAGACAAGCACCTGGACCCCTGAATATCTTTCTAGACTAACAAAGATTTTTAATCACAAGATACCCATATCTACATGATAAATTAAACTGGTCTTCTTTTACTTCACATCTAGTCATTGAAGTGCTAGAAGAACAGAATTAGGAGAATTCACAACATACTGAGGACAATATCTTCACTACTGCTATCTCAGTTATAAATTTACTATTGCAATCTCAGTTACAAATCTGGCTCACTTTTCAAACTACTGAATATGGTGTCTAGTAAGCTGATTCACAGCTCAGCCTCAATGATTCAACATGTTTTCCTGAACCACTAATTCTCTCCTCTGAGGAAGGAGTCAAGAAGTGAGAATACTCATCAAATTTTGAGTAGTCCACAATAGTGGTAGACATCTGCACATGCTGTGGAGAGCTCTAAACTTTCTCAAGTCTGCCATGTGAAGAACTTAAAGTCCAAATTTAACCACAGAGCACAAAATGACATCAATCCCTACATAAGAACACACGAAATTAGATAGAATGGAGACTGTATATAATGTTAGATCACTTGAAATTGTAGTTTAAATTTGATCCTTTCATTACCTGTATATGTGGGCATCAAAGATTTATTCACCATTTACTAGTAAAACCTAGTCTCCAACTTTTTTATGGTGGTGGGAGATCTGTATATTTTAGAATAACTGACATCACTAAAAACTGAAATAGCTGTGTAACTGAAAATGAAGTAAGTCTCTCAGGAAAGTACATATGTGGCGGGGAGGAAAAAAATACACTCAATCTCTTCCCTGTTGGGGTTTGTTCCCAGCATGCATAGAATATTTATATCTCAAGAAAATAAATCTACCCAACAATTGTTCACTATGGCAAGTATTATGAAAGAATCTGGATCTATAAAATAAAGTTAAACTCAATGTGTTCCTGAAATGCACTCCAAAATCTCTAAGAGAAATACACACATATAATTTTGGTGTGCTATGAGGAAGATACTAAACTAAGTACAAAAGGAACACAAAATCAGAAGGAAATTCTTAATTTATCTAGAAGGATGAGACTGGAAACATTCACACAAAGTTTCACATATTGTAAGAATAAAAAGCTGACAGTTATAGGATGTATGGGAATTTGTTAGAGAGAGAGAGAAAGAGAGAGAGAAAGAGAGGGAGAGAGAGAGAAAGAGGGGAGTGTGGCTCTCCAAAAAGTAAGACCCTAAAAAGAAAAGCAAGAAAATATGAAAATATGTAATTTCTTTAGGAAATCAAAGATACATCAGTGTGCTAAAGCAACAGAAGTAACAGTCAATGGAAAAAGATGGAAGTTAACATGGAAGCATGAAGAGAAGGGCTTCAGAACGACATGACAAGTACCTGGATTTATTCTGAAAACAACAGAGAAGCAGTGATGAATTCTGAATAAAAAGAACATATCAAGATTAGATTCACACCTTAGATAAATTTTGGGACAGTGCGAATATTAGATAATTGAGGAAAGAAGTCAAAATGATCCAGTACAAACTGATTACATAAGGGAATCTTAGAAATTATTAGTTCTATTAATTATAAAACATGACCCTCCTTCTACATAGGTAACATTGTTATAACATTCTATAATTCATAATTCTAACTGATTCATGTAATCACAAAAAAGAAATGCTTATATATATATATATCTTTGCTGTAATCAGTTGTAGTACTTTTGAAATGTATAACAATATCAATAAAATTACTTTCATACCATTACCTCATGGCACGTGGTGAGAGAAAGACCTGTTAAACATCAAATTTGGCCCAATAAAGTAATTGCCACAGGGTACTTTTTTATTCTTACCATCACAAGTTCTTCCTGTAATTCACTGAAACTTTTTTCATTATACTGGAGTCTCTTTGAAAGGTCTATAATTACTTTCTTCTGTTCCTCGATCTCTTCATTTAGTTTCTTGTTTTTAGAGAGAAACTCTCTTTCTAATCTGAAAAGTTAAAATGTCAGAGCAAGTTTTTCAAATATGCTTTTGTCAAGGCCTACTAAACACCTTTAACATAGTGGCAGATCTACAATATATCATGCTTGCATTCCAAAAAGCTTTCAAAGGCCACCTCTCATTTTTTTCAAAAACTGATTGCATTCTTAAATAAAAGACTCTAAAGGAAAGACATCTACCTTCTAATAAAAGATATTTGAACTATTCCCAAGGTTATAAACAAAATGGATCTTGTTCATGGCAATTTGGTCTCACCAAATTGGTCTCACCATTTTTTTTTATAAATAAAACCCAGCCATCACAGTTCAATTAATTCATAAGCTATCTCAAAACTGAAAGTACTCCTAACAAACAATTCTCAAGTTAAAGTATAAAATTAGAAATGAAACTAATATTTTATTCTTAAATGTCCAGGAAGTTCTACTGGTATAACAGCATGACAAATAAAAAAAAAACACTAATTATTCACTGTGAAAATACATGAACTTATTTTCAAAGGATCTGCCGCCCTATGTAAGTTACGGTCATAAGAATGGCACTGTTATAGAGTATACATGTCACATTATACCAAGCCCTGGGTTTGATTCTGGTGCACATATTTCCCAAAAAAAATTAATTAAATTGGGGCTGGAGCGACAGCACAGCAGTTAGGGCATTTGCCTTGCACTCAGCAAACCCAGGTTTGATTCCCAGCATCCCAAATGGTTCCCCGAGCACCGCCAGGAGGAATTCCTGAGTTCATGAGCCAGGAGCAACCCCTGTGCATCGCCGGGTGTGACCCAAAAGAAAAATTAATTAAATTATTCTCAGTCTGGCATTAAACAGTATTTAGAGCCTTATACGGACATTAGAGGAAGTCAACTTAGAAGTAATTCAGTTTGAAAGTTACTATAGATAATTCACCAAAAGGGTAATTTTCACTAAAGTGATGCCATTTATTTATTTTCATTCTGATATTGACCCCAATAAATGCAATAAACCAGGACTGGAGTGATAGTACAGAGAGGAGAGCATTTGCCTTGCATGTGGCCGACCTGGATTCAATTCCCAGCATTCCATATAGTCCCCTGAGCAATGCTAGGAGTGATTCCTGAGCACATAGCCAGGAGTATTGCCCCTGAGCATCAATGGGTGTGAGCAAAGAAATCATACACACTGTCCTCCCGTTGTTCATCGATTTGCTCGAGTGGGCCCAGTAACATCGCCATTGTGAGACTTCTTATTACTGTGTTTGGCATATTGAATACTCTCAGTAGCTTGCCAGGCTCTCTGAGAGGGGAGGAGGAATCGAACCTGGCTCGGCCAGGCTGGCTGCGCGCAAAGCAAACGCCCTACCGCAGTGCTATCACTCCAGCGGGTAGGGCGTTTGCCTTGCACGCAGACAACAAGGCCAACCTGACCAAAGAAATAAAAAATTAAAAAATAAATGCAATAAACCAAATAAATCCTTGCCTTCCTGCCCAGATTTGATCTCTGGCATCCTATATGGTCACCCACACCCTGCCAGTAGTCATGCCTGAGCAGAGAGTCAGGAGTAAGACCTGAGCAGTGTCAGATTTAGCCCAAGAAACCAAGGGGAAGCGGGGAGAGGAAAGATCAGCAAATGAGATCCAAGGTAAAAAGAATTCAAAGAGAGGGGTAAAATGGTCCTAAGATGACTATGACAGGAAGCTGAGCAGCAATTCATTCAGAATGAAATGAAGGTGGATCGAGAGTTCCAGAAGGAAGAGAATCTTATGTGACAGAACATTTAAAAAAATGATAGCTCTTCTGAGGTGTGTTGAAAGAGAATTTTGGTTCTGTTAGAGTCTGAGAAGGGGCAAAGGATGTATCACAGTGGTAGGGACCTTGTCGTGCATGTTGGAGGCCCTGAGTTTGATCCCCAACACAACAACTACAAAAGATAATCTGAGAAAAACCTAGGACTGGTGCACAAAATCTAATCCAGCTTAAAATGTGGTGATCGTTGATCATCTGATGATTCTGTAAAATTGACTGTTTTTATGTATCAGGCTCTGATTTAGGCACTAAAGAAAACCATTTCCACATAGAGGAACTAATAAACAGTATCACATTCTTTACTATCAAAGAATATAATAAAATATTCTATGTTTAAAAATCATTCTAATAACACGAAACATCAGCCAAGCGGCACAACTGCTGGCCAACCGTGAGTGTGGAAAGGTCGGACTTGAGGTGAACCTCACGAAGACAATGTTTATGAGAAACAGTCTTGTTCCTGTCGTTCCATTCGCTCTCAATGGAACAAGCATTTTCAAATACAGCAGTTATGTGTACCTAGGTCGAGAAGTCAACATGGCAAATGACCTGGCACCTGAGTTGTGCAGAAGGAAGAGAGTGGCTTGGAACGCCTTCAAGAGCATCGAAGAAATAGCTAAGAGGATGAAGAACCTCCGGCTCCAGGCACATCTCTGCGATTCCACTGTTCTTCCTGCATTAACATATGCCTCAGAGACCTGGGCCCTACGCAAACAAGATGAGAACGCTATTCAGGTCTCCCAAAGAAGAATAGAAAGAGCTATGCTTGGAATATCACATTTCACTCAAATGAGAGAAAGAATCCGGAGTTCTGACATCCGTCGACGATCAAGAATCAGGGACGCTGTCTCATTTGCCAAGGTGTCAAACATCAGATGGGCTGGTCACGTAAAGAGATTTAAAGACGACCGCTGGACTAGAGCCATTCCCGACTGGCTTCCACAGTATGTCAAAAGATCATGTGGCTGCCCACCTATGAGATGGTCAGATTTCTTTGTCAAGACCCTGAATGATCGGTTTGAGGCTATTCGTGTTCCTAGAACAAGCAGACGCCATTGGGCTAGACTAGCATGTGACAGGGATGAATGGAGACGTTGGTGGCGCGCACTCAAGTTAAGTCAATGAGTAACGGGATGTCAAGTGATCAAGTGATGTTTAAAAATTAAGATCAGGGCTAGGGACAGCACCCAGTGGTTAGGGCATTTTCCTTGCACTGAATCTCTAGCATTGCTGAACAAACAAATGTGCAAAATTTAAATAATTATCAGTTAGGGCCAAGGAGACCACTCAGCAGTCGAATAAGATCCCTGGTACCACATAGCCCCCAGGCACCACTGCACCTGCCCTGGAAGCTCATGAGCACTGCTGTTTGTGGCCCTCATGACTTCCAGCACTGCTGGGCCCTAACAGTGAGACACTGTGTGATCCAGGCATTGAAATGTCCAGCCTGGATGGATAAGCATCATTGGGAGTGACCTGCCAAACACTCGAGCACTGCTTGGAAAACTAAAGAAAGAAACCAGTGATCCAAACAAGGTTACATAAACTCTGTCCAAAATACGTTCCAGGAAAAGGACAGGAAAAGGGAAGAAAAAAGTCTGTCCTCTGAAAAAAAGAAATATGATGGAGATACAGAAATAAAAGCCAGTGATCATATCTACAGGTAAGGCAAGGTAAAGGTAAAGGCCCTCCCGTTGATCGTCGATTTGCTCGAGTGGGCCCAGTAACGTCTCCATTGGAGACTTTGTTGTTACTGTGTCTGGCATATCGAATACTCTCGGTAGCTTGCCGGGCTCTCCAAGAGGGGCGGAGGAATCGAACTCGGGTCGGCCATGTTGGCCGCTTGTAAGGCGAACGCCCTAATCTACAGGTAGAAACTGAAAAGAAAAACTGGGCATATTTCAAAATCCAAAAGACCATTCACACATTTACCAATGTACAGAAGAATAGTTATACATTATAAAGTTTTTTTATACCTAATATACCTTGGACATTAATGGCAGCTATACATAAAATACTACACATTCACACTAACATAGCTTTCATAAACTTCATATTAACTTAGAAGATTTTACAGTAAAATACTCACAAATTAAGTTTTGTAAAGCTTTCTTGTGCATTATGCTTTTCTCGTTCATATGCATTTTCAACTTCTTTGAATTCATTCTTGATCATTTCCAAATCAGCAACAGCTTCCGCTTGACTGGCCTTTTCTACTTGCAAAGCTCCTTCGAGGTCTCGAATTCGTAACTACAAGATGATACAGAAGTAATTAAAGGAAGGAGAACCACTCTTAACTAATAGCTTCTCACCAGCAGATCATCATTCAACCAAAAATATCTTTATTTCTGCTATGGCTTTAAAAAAATAATTAACCCATGACAGTTTTTCTTTTTTGTTTTTGTTTTGGTCTTTGGGCCACACCGGGCTATGCTTAGGGTTACTCCTGGCTCTGAGCTCATGGGTCACTCTTGGCAGGATGCAGAGGACCAAATGGGTGCCAAGAACTGAACTGTGGCAGGCCACATTCAAGGTAAGCACCCTATGCACTGTACTATCCCTCCAGCCCGTGAGTTTATTTTTTCAACTATAAGAATTAATTATCTTCCTCTTATGAGAAACATCATTACATGAACATCTTTATAAGCCTAAGAAAGGTGAAAAATATTTTCACTTCTAAAAACTTCTCAGAGAAAACTGAAGTTTTTATTATGAAATAATATTTAACCAAAATATTTATGGGTGCAATAGTATAACATCTGAGATTTGCATTAAAATAACCTGAGGAAAAATTAATTAATTAGTTAATTAAATAAAATAACCTGAGGACTAAAGGACAACTAGGAAAATGTTAAAATGCTTCCTAAACTAATATTTACATATGATAATCAAAATTATTATATACAATTATCCAAATTATTATGTCTATTTATTATCCAAAAATCTTCTGGAATAGCCAAAACATATAATCTTACACTAAAGTAAACAAGTAGAATAGAAATGCAGATACAAATCTGTAAATTTTCAAAACTGATCTTGTAAATTTTGTTTTTACTGCTTTATCTAAATCTAATGTTTCCAAGAAAAATTATAAATCTAGAAAACATTTCTTCCGTATATATTGCTATCTTCTTTTAGAAAATTATACCTGAATAATTTCAGAATTAAATTTTGATTCCAAATGTGCTGCTCTTTCTGCTTCAATATTTTCTTCTAGTTTCCTCACTCTTAGAGTAGTTACCTGAAAACAAATTGAAATTTTAAAATATAAACATAATATTTATAGTTCACTTAAGAGTACTGTATGGGGCCGGAACAACAGTACAGCAGGTAGGGTCTTTGCCTTGCACATGGCTGACCTGAGTTCGATCCCCAACATTCCATTTGGTCCCCCAAGAACTACAGGGAGCAATTCCTGAGTGCAGAACTAGAAGTAAACCCTGAGCATCACCAGGTGTGACCCAAAAAACAAAAAACAAACAAAAAGAAAAAAAGTACAAAATCCCAGAATTATAATACGTTGAATTACTATCGCCCATTGTGGAAATGAAGTATAAAAATCATGCTCAGAATAATATTCTAGAGCTTTCTTTTTCTACATATAATCTGGTATAATCTGTATGTAATAAATTATATTTATTAATATATATAATGTGATGTTTTTCATTTTTCATGTTTTTAATTTCAGCACCTGGCCCAGACAAGGTCAGACCTGAACACCTGAAGAACCTGCCGTCAGTACTCATCAATACACTGGCTCGGCTCTTCACACGCTACCTGTCTGAATGCAAGGTTCCGTCCCAGTGGAAAACCAGCAGGACCGTACTACTGTTCAAGAAGGGAGACATCCATGACATTGGCAACTATCGCCCGATCTGCCTATTGTCTGTCATCTACAAGTTGTTCACTCGAGTCATCCTAAATAGGATTGGCAGAACACTAGATGAAGGACAACCATGCGAGCAAGCCGGGTTCCGCAAAGGATTCAGCACCATCGACCATATCCACACGATAACCAAGCTCATTGAGGTTTCTCGGGAGTTCAAGATGCCGCTCTGTTTAACGTTCATTGATTTAAAGAAGGCCTTTGATTCTGTTGAGACGGAAGCGGTCATTGAAGCCCTAGCCAATCAGGGCATTCAAGCCCAATACATCAGGATCCTCCGTGAGCTGTATTGCGGATTCACTACCAGGATCTCACCATTCTACAAAGAAGTGATCATACATGTCAAGAGAGGGGTTCTGCAGGGTGATACCATTTCACTGAAACTCTTCAGTGCCACCCTCGGGAACATCATGCGACGACTGGAATGGGAAAGAATGGGAGTGAAGATAGACGGTCAGCAACTACACCACCTCCGCTTTGCTGATGACATTGTTCTAATAACACCAAACATTAGCCAAGTGGCACAAATGCTGACTGACTTCGACTGTGAGTGTGGAAAGGTTGGACGACAGCTGAATCTCACGAAGACAATGTTTATGAAAAACAGGGGGGTGGGAGGGATACTGGTATTAGTAGTGGTGGAGAATGGGCACCGGTGGAGGGATGGGTACTCGATCAATGTAGAACTGAAACCCAAGCACAAAAATTTGTTAAGTTGACAACTCTACCTCATGGTGTTTCACTAAAAAGGAAGAAAGAAAGAAAGAAAGAAAGAAAGAAAGAAAGAAAGGAAGGAAGGAAGGAAGGAAGGAAGGAAGGAAGGAAGGAAGGAAGAAAGAAAGAAAGAAAGAAAGAAAGAAAGAAAGAAAGAAAGAAAGAAAGAAAGAAAATCAGATGGGCTGGACATGTAATGAGATTTGGAGAAGACCGCTGGACTAGAGCCATTACCGACTGGATTCCACAGGATGTCAAAAGACCACGTGGCCACCCACCTACCAGATGGTCAGACTTCTTCGTCAAGACCCTGAATGATCAGTTTGAGGCTATTCGTGTTCCTAGAACGAGCAGACGCCATTGGGCTACACTAGCATGCGACAGGGACAAATGGAGACGTTACTGGCGCCCACTTGAGCAAATAGATGATTAACGGGAAGGCAAGTGATCAAGTGACTTTTTCATACATTCATACATATTGTATATAGTATATATGTACCCACAAAAACTGCCATAAGACAGGAAATAATTCTGTTACTAAAAAGTATTCTTTAAATCACAGCACTTTCATCACCCAGTCCTCACTACTCTCCTTCCATCCCCAAGTAAACTTCAATCTGCCTTTAGTCATTCTAAATTGTTTTGATTTGGTAAATTTTTCTTTCTATGATGGAAGGATGAACCACACCCAGTGGTGCTCAGGGCTTACTCCAGGTTCTCTGTTCAAGGGTCATTTGTGGCAGTGCTCAGTGTGGTGCAGAGGATCAAACTGTGGTCAATTGGATGCAAGGCAAGTGCTTCAATCCTGTATTACTTCTCTGGCCACCTGGAAATTTTATTCAAGAAATAAGGCCTATTGCGACTCCTGGGATGAAGTGACCATGTCTAAACCCAAAATTTGAAGACACATCACCTTGAAACTGGAATATTTGATCCAATATCAGAGTTAGCAAAAGACTGAAAGCTGAGACTGGCAGGCAAAGAAGCACTGTTATTTACAGATTTGTCACAGCGGCCATCTACATCAACAGTTCATTCTTTTTATTATTAAACAGTGTTCAGTATATTGATACTCTACAGGTATTTTGTCTTTCCCCTACTGAAGAACATTTGAATCATTTCCAGTTTGGATGATTGTAATTAACAGCTAGAAGAATTTGTGCAAGCTGTTGAGTGGACATGAACTTTTATTTCGCTGGAGTAAACAGTGAAGGGGGGTTGACTAATTGTGAAATTGTAGATCATATGCAATGTTTTATAAAACTGTCAAAGGGTTTTCCAAATGTTTCTAATTTTCTAAATCCTCATCAACATATGGAACCATCGTTTTTGGTGGTTTTGGTTTTGGTTGGATGGTATCTTTTTAGACACTCAAACAAGCAGGTAATGGTATCTCATTTCAGCTTTGATTTGCATTTCCCCAAACACTAATAACAATGAACATCATTTCATGTACTTATTTACCATCTGTATATCTTCTTTGGTGAAACATCTGTTCAAATCTCTTCCCTACTTTATAAATGGGTTCTCTGTTTCTCATAATTGAATGTTGAGAGGTCATTATATAATCTAGAGACAAGTCACATGTTGTTTATGTGATTTGCAAATATTTACTCCCAATCTTTCATTTTCTTAACAGTGTCTTTCACAAAGGAGACATTTTCATTGTTATAAAACATAATTATCAATTTTTTTTCAGGCAAGGATCAACTGATCACCAGAAGCATTAAGTCAATAATTTTATTTGGGGGGTGGGGGAGGGGGCCAGAGAGTATAGCAGACAAGGTGTTTGCCTTGCACACAGACAACTTAGGTTCTATCCTTAACAACACAACTGGACCCACAAGCCCCACCAGAATTGATTCCAGAGCACAGAGTCAGGAGTAATCCCTGAGCATTGACAGGTGTGCCCCCCCACCGAAAAAATAAAAGAATTTTACTTTTCATGCCATTTTTGTTGAGAAAACGCAGCACTGGGAAGTCCTGGATTCCGTGTTCTTTAGATTTCCAAAGAGGGTAACAACCAAAAATCTCTTAGGGGCAGAGCACACAGGTTAAGGGAACATTTAGACACTTACACACAACATAATAAGAGCAAACAAAAGCACAACAGACCCAGGAACTGCACACACTGCCAGACTATCAGTAGGAGTGACATTGTGCCCGTGGAGCACTGTTTGGGAGCCCCTAAAACACAAACACACAAGCCACCAAAGTACTCAAGGATGAAATTATGCAATTTCTAAATCTGTTTTAAAATAATCATTCTGAGGATTACAAGCAGGGGGAGGTATTATTTGTGAAATAATATTGACCATGAGTAGATAATTGAAGCTGTGTGATAACCACATGGGGTTCATTAGCGCATTCTCTCTACTTTTATGTATGATTAAAAATTTCCATATTGAAAAAAAATTACAATAGCAACAAAAGCAAAAGCATTAAGATTAATGAGGAAGTAAAGTGCTGTTATTATCATTTACCCAACTAACAAAATTATACCTTGATAACAAAAGATCATTAAAATAAATTAAGTCATTTGCACCCAAACGGAAAAAGCAAACAGAAAGGCAGGAGTCTAAAGCAATAAATTTCTACCTACATTGTTGAAATATTAAGATCAAATCAAAGAAAATACTCCTTCTGTATTCACTTTCGCATTCCTCAAAAACATGTTTCACATAGAATAAACCCCATGTGATGTTATTAGCTATTATCTTTTTAAAGAATTTTTATCCTCTTAAGTGTAAAAGAAAAGCAGGATTAAAGTCAAAGAATTTTCTTTTCTGAAGGACTTATCAGAAATTTATCATGACAGTATTGAAAAAGCAGCACAAAGTTGAAAAACTCAGGTTTCCTGACTCAAAACTTTGAAGGAAGCTAAATTAAGCAAAATGGTGTGGAACTGGCAGAAAGAGAAACAGAAAGGCTTTCATGGGAAGTAGGAGGAGGACAAGAAAATGGGTCCGTTCCATGTAGTACCACTTGTATGTAAATTTCATGACTTCATCTTTCTTAACAGCTACATAGTACTCCATTGTGTAAATGTACCAAAGTTTCTTTAACCAGTCATGTTAAGTGAAATGAGTCAGAAAGAGAGGGATAGACATAGAAAGATTGCATTCATCTGGGGAACATAAAGTAACAAAATAGGAGACTAACACCCAAGAGTGGCCAAGATTAGTACCAGGAGGTTTGCTCCATGGCTTGGAGGCCAGCCACACATGCTAGGGGAAAAGGGAGCTCAGATAGAGAAGGGAGCACCAAATAAAGGGTGTTGGGAGGATCCTCCCAGGAGGGGAGATGTATGTCGAAAGTAGACTATGGACTGAACATGTTTGCCCCTCAATGCCTCTTTTGCAGACCACAACACCCAAAAGGAGAGAGAGAACACAAGGGATTGCCCTGCTACAGAGGCAGGGTGGGATGGGGGGGGATGGGGGTGGGAGGGATACTGGGATCCGTGATGGTGGAAAATGGGAACTGGTGGAGGGATGGGTACTTGATCATTGTATAACTGAAATCCAAGCACAAAAACTTGTAAGTCTACAACTGTACCTCATGGTGTTTCACTAATAAAAATTTTAAAAAAAAAAAAAGAAAAAGAAAGAAAATGGGTCCAAAAATGCAAGCTTTGCATA